AGTCAGAAGAGAAACAACAGAAACTAACCTCGCTGTGCTGAAGTCCTTGAATTTAGCAGACGAGTGAACTTAAATCCCCAAGAATTATTAAATCCCCTTCATTTTATATGTCAATTGCTTTGCATTTTAATTGCTGTTGATTTACATATAACAGCATATTAGCTGGTATACTCTGTGGTTCAGAGGAAATCTGTGCTAACCAGCATCTATTGTAGCATTACGTAAACATACACGCAAATGAGAGAATAAAAGTTTTAATCTACATTGCCTTGTTAAGGTGAATGTTTCAAAGGGACCTTGCAGGTATTTTTTTATGTCGCTTTTTTCTTAATTGCATCTGTGGAGAAGCCTGTGGAAACTAAAATGGGAGTCTCCGAGACTGGAGCAAGATGTATGTAGGGGTATAGAAAATGCACCAAATTAGCATGACCTCATTTGATTTTTAGGCGCCTGAATCTGAGTCAGTTATACTGACACGAGAGAGCAGATTCAAGCACCAGCAATTTTTCATGAGTTCAGATGATTCCTGAATGGGTTCATGTGACATCAGTAGGCTTAACTTGATTTAAGAGCCGTAACACGTTAGCTATGCAAATAGATGTGAAACATGACTTAAACATTTTTGGCTTCTCCTTTATGAAGTGAGTAGCTCTGCGGTTCCTGTACCTAATCTGAAATTAGCTATGATTTTGGGGTGATACATTTCCAGCATTCCCCATTAATAACTTACTATAGCTAGACCACTTGAGGGTTTTCGAAACAGCAATGTGTGTTGGAATTCCTCCTGCAGAGGTTATGTCATGATAAGCAGTATTTCTTTTCACAGTTAGCACTGCCTTTTAATCTCTTCCCATTTCAGATACAAACTCATGATTTTTCTTTTTATATCTCTTGCTGTACTTTTTTGGGTATCTCAGTTTCAGCCAGTGTGCAGCTGCCAACTCCATCTGCAAACTGGCCTTTCATCTTCAATATTTTGAAGGTCATACAGGAAAATTTAAAGGACAGAAAGTGATACTGAATATTTGAGAACTCTGTTTAAAAGGAAATGTGTTTTCTGAAGTGTGCCTGTGAAAACAACATACATGTGAATGAGTGTTGTTTCAGCCTGGAATCTTTCACAGATCCTAAAAAAATGGCTAAATTAAAAGAATTAAATTAAAAGAAGCCGTCCAGAATAGGATTAAATCTTAATCGTAAAGACCCACATAGTACTACTGAGGACAAAACCTATATAGAAAGTTGGAATAACAGGTAGGCTTTTACAAGTAGGTGCTGCAAAATATGTTGTGTGGTACATTTGGGCAGGGCATATGTAGCCGTGTAGCATTCCTTTTCAATGAGTTAGTTGTAACCAGAAGTCTGTTGAAACCAGATGACGATGTAATAGTTGCGTGTTAACATGGACAGGGCTGTCATGCCTATGGCAGGGTGTATGACAGGTTGGGACTGAGGGTTTCTTGAGGGGAGATATGAGGAAGCCCTTAGTGTGTCTTTGTTCTGTGAGTTACAGCTATTGTTCTCTGATCTTTATGATCACGTTTCAAGTGTCTTGCCATGAACTGGAATGGTCATAATGAGTCAAGTGCATTATTGTTCTTACAACTTGCCTGAGCTGTAACTGTATGTGGCTTCCCTTACAAGGTTTTAAGGATTATGAATGCTGATAATAAGCTTAAGGTGGTATGATTTTTATGTCTTCAGCCGCATTTCTTTTGCTTGTTCCTGGTGTAAGGGACATCGGAAGCTGTAATCCATCAGTCCCTTGCAGGACTGAAGTGGAGGTTTGTGAACCGTATCCAAAAATGAGATCCAGTATTTTCACAGTGGTGTATCTTCTGAAGAAACACTCTTTTCCTTCTTCACCAGTTTCCCCCTGGGAATTTTAAGGATTACTAGACAATGCTTTTATTTCCACTTCAGAAGATGAGATCGGTGATTCCTGTACTGATGGGTGTTGGTGGTGGGCTTGACAGGTAAAGGTGGTGTTATCACTGTACTGTCCTTTCATTCTAATCTGTCATGAAACCATGAGGAGGCTGCCACAACTCTTTCTATGTCACTAATTTTGTTCTTTCCTTTAGAAACCTGGATATTCAGTGTGGCCAGGATTACTATTGCCCAGCTGGCCATTTCTGCTTCCTTAATCAAGTATCAGCATAGTAGCGATATTGGAAAAGTGTCCTTCTGTATGTTAATAACAGTAGTTCTTTAATATGCATACTTAAACTGACATCATAGTCTGCTGTTGTTCCAGCCACTTATCTTGAAAATAAAATAAAAACTCAGATTAAAAGCAGTGGTTCCTAATCTATGAGCTGTGTCCTGCTTGCTGGTCTCAGAAGTAGAGCACAGGAAACCTGCTAAAGCCCGGCCAACGGCTAACCACTTCATTATGAAATGCAGGAGTTGAATCGGCTTCTTGAGAGCACAACAGACAGAGTATGAGATTGCTTTTTTCCTGGAGAAGACCTCCACCTCTTCCTGACTGAATTGGTATTAATTACACTTGCTTCCTCAGACTCTACCCCTGCTTAGACTCTTCCTCCCTGGGCTGTCTTCCTTCTTTGAAATCTTTGGAACGGGCAACACTCTTTTTCAGTGCCATTCTTAGACCTTCAGTGAAGTAAGTTTATGTTCTCTGCTCAATTTATTTATTTTTGATAGATATGTTCTTCAGTTTGGCTATTGTAATGCAGTAGCATTTCTGTGAAGCATTTCAATCTTCTTGTAAGAGTTGCACACAAATTTTAAAATGCTTGTATGTGCAGTAGAAAAGCACTTAAAGTTCATTATAATCTGTAAAACACAAAAACAGATTTCAAGTAACAAGGAAATTCTCGTATCTTAGCTATAGGAGCTACTATTACAAAACACTGCAGTGAAGGGCATTCATTTAATATAAATGAGAAAAATCTTATAGTGTTACTTAAAGTTCATTATAATCTGTAAAACACAAAAACAGATTTCAAGTAACAAGGAAATTTTCGTATCTTAGCTATAGGAGCTACTATTATAAAACACTGTGCAGTGAAGGGCATTCATTTAATACAAATGAGAAAAATCATATAGTGTTGTGTGGGAATTATGCCTTGGTTGATAAGGAAGGAGTATGAATTTATTTCCTATGAAGTACTTTGTTATGTAAGTCACTGGTAAAACTAAAGAGAATTAATAAAGATGATATGTTGCACTACAATAATTAGGAAAAGCTGTTTATGAATAGGTGAAGTCACACACAGTCTAGCTGCTTCTGTGGTTTCTTAATTTGGGTGTGGTTTAATTAAATCTTAATACAGGAACCTTCAGGATTTTGAAAACAACTGCTTTGTGTGTAACTGAGGAAATCCATTCTCTCTCTGAGCAGTCAATAACAACAGCACCATTACAGAGTCCCATTTCTGAAAAATACTGACTGGAAGTGTTTCCCTGTGGTAGCTACTTATTCCAGCTGAAGCCTTTCATCATCAGTCAGTTAGTGTTCCTCAGTCCACAGGGCTTTAGAGTCTTCTCTGGCACAGCTGGTGTTACGCACAGTTTCAGGCCATTAAATTTACCTGGAATTTCTGGCTTCCTAACCTAAGAATCCAGGATCAAATTTTGATTCAACTGAAGCTGAGGAAGGGAGTGGCTGGTGTCCTAATGCTACCAATAATAAGCATAAATAAGTAGGGAAATAATAAGCAGGTAAAAGGATTATTTGGCATTAGGCCAAACTGATGTATTGTGGAATTGCCAATGAGAATTGTACAGTTCTCACGTTTGCCATTTGCATGACATCATCTGGGGTTCATGAATCTTTTTCAGAATATGCATGATCTTTGGACCATCCCCCAAAACCTGCAAAAATCTTGAATTTGAATACTGTGATTAATCTGTTGAGATTGTGGTTTGCTGTCCTGAAACATTTTACTGCAGGTGCTAGAAGGCATTGTGTATCTTAGCCTGTGTGAATGCTTGTCCTTATGCAGCTGATGCTGAGCAATTTTGACCACGTTGATTCAAGCATTTGTCAACAAAGCACTAAATTTTTTAGTGTGCTGTTACACACCATAAATCTATGCCCCCTCCTTGGAGGGATCCTGACTTCATTGCATGTGGGCAATTATTTGAATGGGACAGCAACAGTAATCGCTGCTAGCAGTTGTTTGAGTTTGGGGGGCTGCAGTTGCTTGCTGGCTCTGAACCTGATTTAAAAATTAAATGTAGGAGACAAGGGAAAGGACACGGGTATTAATAGCATTGAAAAAGCAATGGGTTAACTCAGTCTCTTTTGGTTTTGCTTGTTTTTTTTTATTGCCTGGCACATGTGTAGTTTGGAAAGGACAGTGGTCAGGAAATGCTTGTGGCAAGATTGTGTGTGTTCCACACCCAGAGGCCGAGAGAAAGCCCTATTCTTCTCCTGCTCGTCACATGCATTTATTCTGGTAATGATTTACTCTGGGCAAAGTATGCTGCTCATAACTTAGCAAATATAAAAGACCAATCTCAATGATTACAGAGATAATGGGGAGTAACTGGATTTGACTGTGGCCATGTCTACAAAGTTCTATATGTTTTCAAGTTCTAAGGTTTAAAAATCATGCTCCAAAGTGATTGTAAGAAATAGATGCAGCTGAAAGCCGGGGAAATGTGAGTCCTCCTCTGATGTAACCCACCTGCTTGGTTAGGCCATTTGGGCTTTCCCTTGCACCTCTGCTGCTGAGACAAAGTTTAGAAAGCAGCATTGGTGGAGGTGTGGTTATCATGACAGATCTTCTTATGCTGTCTTCCTTAGCTTTTACTTACGTTTTGCAATCTCTTCTTTTCTTTCTTTCCCCTGTTTCCTCCTTTGTGACTTCTCTCTGATGTTCTTCTTTTTCCTCCCCATCTTCCCTGCTTTGCCTGCGTGCACAGGATGGAGTTCAAGATCTCCCACAGTGGAGGAAGAAGCTGCTCTTCCCTGTGGTGCTAAAAGGAGTTAATCTAAAAGAGGCTTCCCAGCATGTTCATGCAACAGCATGTTGGTGATAGAGGCTGCTGATCTGGTGTGGTCAAAGTTTGTCTCCCTACTAGTAAGGTAGGAGAGTGGGAATTATAAATTCCTCAGGTTGGCTTGGTGCTGAACTACTTGTCCTTGCGTTTTTCTATGAAATTACACAGTGCACTTTGCCTCTTCCCATTCCAGCTGCCTTACAAGCACTGAAGAGGAAAAAGAGGTACGAGAAACAGTTGAGTCAAATTGATGGGACACTTTCGACCATTGAATTCCAGAGAGAGGCATTGGAAAATTCCCACACCAACACAGAAGTGCTAAAGAATATGGGTTATGCTGCACAAGCTATGAAAAAAGTACATGAAAATATGTAAGTGCTTTCTAATAGCTTTCAAGTTGAGCTTGCTAACCACTTTCAAAATGGTTCATCACTAGAGTATTTTATCAAGTCAGCCAGTTTTGACTTCATTTTTGGTTCAGGCATTTAATGTCAGGAATGCTATTGGTGCTGTAGTGTTATTTTTGGCAGAAAAATATCTTTTCTTAACAGCGAGTCTAGAAGGAAGTCCACGTAACTAGAGAGATCCGTATGGTACCTGTTTTGTTTTGGTTTTTTTTAAGTCTGCCTTGGGAGTGGAGACTGGCCCCTGCCCTTGGTTTTTCCAGAAGAAAACTTACTTGAAGAAACTAAGTGCACTCTTTTCCTCAAAGTCCATAAGCTGGACTGTGTGATTCAAAGTACTAATTAGACCTGAATAAAAGAGATGGTAATTTTTTTGTCCGTGTAGTATTTTTTATATGTCCTATATTGTTTCATGAGGCATTTTCCTGCCTGAATAAACAGAGTGAAATCAGAAAGGTTGTTCTGGGAGAAGTAAACAGGAACTGAAACAATAATGAAGTTAACAATAAGGGGAAGCTTTTAAATGGGGTATAGTGCTGTTAAGTTCCCCCCAGTTCTGGTGAAAGCTTAATATCAAAAAATATCCATCTGTAAAGATGCTGACCTCGGGAAGGAGATGAGATCTGCCCAGGAGATGTGACTGTTGGCTGGCAGAAGTATGAGAAGCACGGAGAGGGAGGGAGACAGACGCAGACTACTGCAGTTTGACTTTTGTTATAATCCCAAAGTGGAAGAAATTGGACTGGCTAAAACACACAGGAGCTTGCTGGGAAACATTAAGGTGTAGGTGAGGGAAATTATTCCCTGTGAGTTCTGCTGTTTATACAGCCATGGGCATAAAAAGAAAATAGGGTCTGCTCAAGTTTTTCTGAGTCTCTTCTATAGGATTTGAGTGATCTATCTTTAAAAAATGTTTCTATGTTATCTTGCCAGGGACTTGAACAAAATTGATGATTTGATGCAAGATATCACTGAACAGCAAGATGTTGCCCAGGAAATATCAGACGCTATCTCAAACCGAGCCGCCTTTGGTGATGAGTTTGATGAGGTTAGTACTTCAGGCCTGTGAGTTTTAGCTGTTAAATGACTCCATAGTTATTTTGTTGTGCAGTGGCTTGTTCCGGTGGTTTGCTTCTCAAAAGATGCGGATGTGAAATTCCTTGGTTCTAGCTTACCCTATCTAGGACATTTTTTATAACTTTTATATATAAAAAATAAAATTAATATATATAATATCATAAAAGTATATATGTAAAATATAAAAATATTTTTATTTATATAAAAATTTTAAGAAAGGCAATTTTAACTGCACTCCTGTAATTGTTATTCTCATTTGTACCATGGAAGGAGGAGGTCACTAAAACGTGTAATTTGTACTGCTCCAAGTGGACATTGAAACATATAATTTTTTGTGCTCCAAATAGACATCTGTTTGACTAAGTGCATGTTCCTATGCCATGAGCAGGCTGCTGTTCACAATTCTGAATGTTTGGACCAGTTTTTTAAGGTTGTTTTTGGTGCTTGGAGATGCAGGTCCGTTCCCTGTTTTCCATATTTTCTCCAGAAGTGGATCCATTAGGTAGCAGTAATTCCTGTTGGAGGCAATAAGGTTTCTTCCTTCAGCTCTTTTCTTCTGAAACCCCCACAAGGCACTTAGGACCTTTTGATAATTTGTTGCAGTAGCTTTCATCCAGTGTCCCTGGACTTGATTTTGTGTATCTAAGCAGGGCATTACTTATTTCTGATCCAGCCATGGCTTGAGGACTCAAGGGTCAAGTATACTCAAAATTCTTGCAATCTGTGGAATGCAGAGCTGGGGATCAGGATCAGTATCACCACCAGTTTGGTTTTGGTTTTTAACTATGTTTTAAAACGACCAAGCACTAGGGATCATTTGAAGAATGTCCTAAAGAATCAAACAATTTACTCCCTCCCCAACTAATTCATTCCTATGTGTCCAAATGGACAACAAAGAAAAATACATAGGCTATATCATATTTGCTTGATTGGGGGGGGGAGGAGTTCAGCAGATTCATATAACTTCATTCAGTAGTTATAATTTGTTGAAAATAGTAATGATTCTTTGTATTTTGTTCCCATTATCTGCTTTCCTGTTCTTCCACTTCAAATGTAAATAGACTTTTCAAGAAACATTTAATCAATACTGGCACAAGGAATGGGATTTAGCCTGTATAAACTGGGCTTCAAACAACTGAAAAACATAGTGCCACCCCTAACAGCTATACAGTGTCCCTTACTTTTCATCAGTGCTTAACTTCTAGGAGCCTAGATTTAGTAAGCATGTTGTAGATTAACCTGGAAGTTCCTAAGAGATACTAGTCTAAGTTGATGGTCATGTTTCCGGTTCTGGGAAAATAAGCCACTGTCACATGGGGCATCATTGTACCAGCATCTGCCTTTGCATAGGAGCCTAATACAGTAAGTGGGAAACCTGGTTTGCAGGCCACTTCAGTTTAAGAGCGCTAGAATCAATGACTTAATTGCTGGGTTATGAGGTGATTTGTGTTGCAGGATGATATTTAATTTTATTTTTTTGAAGGACATTTTGACCACACACTTGGATTTCCTCTTCACATGTGTGCCATGGGTGTAAGATCATGGAAGCATGTAATTTCTATTGCTCCAGATAGACACAAAAACATAAGCGTTCTTTCTCCCTGGGTTGACTCAGTGTATGCCATGAAGAATGCACAAAAGCTCTGTCCTACCTGAGTAGGATGCTCACTGGGAGGGATGATCCTTGCCTGGAGGCCTATTTCTGATGATCAAATGCAAAATACACACATTCCAGTGGACAGAGCCTGGAACCTGAGAATTCACATGGCATCTTCCCTCTGCTCTCTTTTTGGCCTAGGTTTATGAGGAGAAAGGGGATTTGTTACAGCTATTGCAATACTCCACAGCCTAGCTGTAGAGCAATTCCTGAGCTGTGGGAAATATAAGTTAAATCCATGCTTGAGGATGAGAAGAACTTAAAACTGAGTCTCCCACTTCGAGAGAAAATATTCTAGCCATTACATTATTATGTTAAAGATGTAGGGGTCATGATCATGGTATCCTTTACCTCTCTCTTTTTTTTTTTCTTTCTTTCTTTTCTTTTAAAGAGAGCCTGTCATGGCTGACACTACCACTTAGTTGTTTACTTGTTCAACAGAGGTTGGCAAGGACTAATTCGGTGTGGGGAGAGGGTTAGATGACCATCTAGAGGTCTTCAGAAATACCTCTTTCCATGGACTTTGCAACAACTTGGGCACTAACTTTTTAAGAAGCTTGTATTTACAGCACTGACTGAGGCCCTTAAAGGACAGACATATTTGCACCTCAGCTACATGCCTAAGTTAGACATTGGGCTCCAACTCGTACATTTCCTTGAGATCAACTGTGAATTGAACATCATCAGGTGTTTCACCTGATGCTGAAATTTTTAGATGATATCCTAGGATTTGCATTGTGAACTAGGTAAGGTAGGCAAACTGTAGCCTTTTTTTGGCCTTAAAATATAAAACCATGAGAAAGTAAGTCTAGGAAGGCCTGTGGTGGCTATGTAATTATTTTAACTTCCACATTGGTGATAAGCAAGGTATAAATGGGTAGGCAAAGCCCATTTCAATACCTAGTAGATCTCACTTTGCTACAGCCACTTTTTCCCCAGCCACTTTTGCCCATTGTTTCTTTGTAAACCGTTTTCTCAATGTGGCAAAGGTCAATTTCTCTACAAATTTGTAATATTTACCTTCCTTTCTTTGGGAAACTCCAGCCAAAGAATAAGTCTTTGGCTTTTTAAAAAAATGTATGGCCTTTTTATTTTTAGTATTAAACAAGTGGATTAGATCATCGGTCCAAATCAGCTTCTGCAGCTAAAAGCCCAAGAGTGTTACGTGCTCCAAGAGTGAATAACAGGACCCGGGAGGACAGCTCTGATTCCAGTGCTGCTTTGAAATCATATATAGTCCTGGACTTGTGTGATACGGCTGAAGCATAATGTTTAATGACAGTCTACCTTACAAACAGTGGAAGCTGTTTGCTTTTTAAAATGGGAGAAATCACACATGAAAATTAGAACCTGTTAAAGAGTACAGGCTCTAGATTTGGAACAAACCTAAGGCAGAGGGACCCTTTGTTTTTCTTGTGTTTGCCTTTTTGACAAGTATTACACTGCCATCAGTTTTCTTTCTAATGTTATTCCTTGTCCCATTTCTAACTATTATTGTCTTTCTTTCAACTGAAGTTTATTGTTATCACCCACATTTAGTAAAAATTATACTTGTGATATGCTGTTTTTTGATATTTGTTTTCAGGTGTAAACTGTTTTTTCAGTAGTGCTTTCCTTCATGGTGGTTAAATGTGCCCTTGCCTGAGATCACTGTCAGGACAATGAATTTGTAAATAATGTTTTCCTTGAATTTAGGATGAGTTGATGGCAGAATTAGAAGAACTGGAGCAAGAAGAATTGAACAAGGGAATGAGAGATGTCAGGTTGCCAAGTGTTCCGTCCACATCGCTGCCTTCTCGCCCTGGTAAACTGCCTGCTTGCCATTTTACATTTCTCATGATTAAGCCATACTGTGAGAAGGAGGAGAGGGAGATAGAGTTCCAGATATGTATTTAGCTCTGTTTTAACTTTTAAAGTATTATAGATTCCTTTTCCTATTTTTGTATCTGTTTATCAGAAAAAGCAGAGTGGAATTCTGGTTTGCTGTATGAAAGCATTTAGGATCAAATTCTCTGTAGATTTGAGGAGACAAATTCAGGGAACTTGACCTTGCACGTATACTGATGCATCTCCTACTGAAATGCAGTGAGATCACTGAGGAATGGGAAGACTTTTTTTTTTTTCTTTTTGGCAATTAAATCCTTAGTCTTTTTTAATTAGAGTCTGACCTAGATTCAAAATGTTTGCGTCACAAAGATCCAGCTTTGTAGGGTAGTGGTTTGATATTTGCCACTGGTATTTTAATTAGAAATGAAGGAGGCAGCAGGAAGTACACATTTAAAGAAATATTGTCATTCCTTTGCTTTCTTTCTACAGAACAGACTTATTTCTGGTATTAAGCAGTAGTTTTCTGTAGTTCTGCCCTGTTCATTTTGAATTAAGTCAGAAACGGTCAATTTTTACTACACCTTTCACCATGTCCCTGTTGTCCTCTATCAGCTGAAAGACTTTCTGTGTACTGATGCTAGTAAAAGAGTATAAATATTTGGTGGTAAGGACAGCACACACGTGACACAGGCTGTTTATGGTGCATTCTGCTGCAGAACAGGTTACCTAGACCAGCTCAGCTCAGAGACTTTTAACGTGTGTTTTGGCAGATGGCACTTAAATCCTGAGAAGCAGTGTACAATGTTCAAACTGGGATTGTGGCCTCATCTACTGAAGTCAATTGCAGAACAGCTAGTAAAAAAAGAAAAATGCAGTCTGGGCATTTATGGCTTGTTTATACATCCTCTTCCAGATCCAGCTGTGCCAGTTGACATTTTTATTAAACCCAGGCCATCTCCATGTGCTTATCACTATCTTAATTTGCTACTTCATCTGTCTGTATGGCTGCTTCAGGCAAAATTAGCTGGTTATAATTATATAGTTTAAGGCCTTGCAAAACCGGCTCATCTTTTCTGAAACAATGCTTACTGTTACGCTGCAATAGCAAAATAAGAACAGTTAATGCTTCTAACTGGAGATGCATGTTACCCTCCTGATTTTAGCGATGAGGAAACTGAGATGGAGCAAGGCATAGTGAGCTTCCTCAGTTGCACAGTAAGCCAGTGGCACTTGCAGAGTAGGGACTGGACCCCTGGTGTCCCATGTCCTTCTCCCACCTTTAATTCCCAAAGGTGGTAGTTGCAGCCCCTCTCAAGATGGTGGCTCCCGGCCATACGGCTGCCTCAGGCGTGAGCCAACTGGCTGCTGTAAACGTACACACAAGGGTGTTGCACCTAGTAACAGTGTTCCACTGATGTTTGGAGGAATGCAAATCCTGACATGCACAGCCCACAGGTGGAGGCAGCCTGAGGTTGAACCTGGGCTGTAGGGCATCCAGTTTGTAGGTCAGTGAATGAAGACTGTTTGGGTGAGGTTTTAGTTCAGTGAATGTGAAAGATGTGTGACAGATTTGGGTAAAAAAAAAAAGAGAAAGTGCATGTGGGGCCTGGTACAGAGCTGGGCATTGCTGTTGCTGTGAACACAGCAGTTAACTGATGTAACCTGAACAAAGTAAGTTCAGGAATTGCTTTCTCCCTTTTAATAAATGACACCTCTCATTAAAATGGGGTGAGTCCATTTGGAGACTGATCCTGCACCTGCAGAACTCTTCAGCACTATTTGGAAAGGTAGCGTGATGCACAGATGGCCAGGGGTAGGTCACTCGTGCCCGCTCAAGTGGCGGTGAGAGAACTGGCAGCATTCTTGTGGACATTTGCTCTCTGTGACAGCTTTTAGAGATTAAATGTGTTTTCTGTGGGAGTCTTTCAGTAGGAGTTACATCAGACCTATCTTACTAACCTCAGGGTTATATGTGAGATAATGGTGGGGCAAAATGGTCGCATTTCTCATCAGCTTCATTACTGCATTACCTATGTTTAGCTTGCTACTCAGTACATTGATCTGAGATCTTCAGACTGAAAAGCACTATGCAAGTCCTCATGCTAACAAATAAAATGGTTCTGACTGTTATATTAGTTGATGGTTATTGTTAATCTCTCTTTCTCTGCAGCATCGACCAGGAAAAGAGCAGAGGATGAAGATGAAATGAAGCAGCTGGCTGCCTGGGCTTCATAAGAGCATGGTCTTTTTATAACACTGAACATTAGAGCTGTAATGCTGTTTTATAACCGTACCGATTTAGCGTGGTTGCATTTCACACAGGCTGGTTTTTTTTATGGCCAATCTTGCTAAGAAGTAGTGTTACTTCCATATTACAAAAGTAATTTAAAAATGAACAAACAAAAAAATGCAATAGTTGCCAAAACCTCCAAGCATCAAAGTTTTTTTTCAGCCTTGGCAAGAGATTTGTTTTGTTATTAGTATCAGTTTTTATTAGGTAATGTCTTACTATATCTTGCTGGTTTGTAAAACCTGTGTGCCTCACTTATACACACAGCTGGATTCATTGTTGAAATGAAAAAGTTCAATAAGTCATCAAGGCCCTATCCTGGAGGGTTATTTGGTTCAGACTATTTGAATATTAGCAAAACAGCTTTATACATATCCTGACTTGCAAGTTCCTTTGAGGCTAACAGCTAATAGCCATTCATTTGGGCATGGAGATTTAAAGAGTCTGTCTGGAGCAACTGCTGTCCTAGATATTAAGAGGAGACTTTTCTGCAGATTTTTTTGAAGTGGGATAGGTTTTTTGTTTTGTTTTACTTTGGCCAGAATATCTCATGCATTCCTATAGGTCAACTTGAATTGTATTTTGAACTATTTCCAACTCAGTTAAAGAACAGTTTTACAGTGATTGGGGAAAATGAAATGTCCAAGTTCTTACAGATGCTTGCCAAACAAAACTGATTTCCGTTAACCTGTAAAAAATCCAGAAGAGATTTGACCTTCCTGTGTTCTTCTTCTCCACTGTGTCTTTCTAGGGTGAGTCTTTACTTTGTATGATGATACTCATCCTCAAAGGAATTAGTAACGCATTTTTTTTAATTATACAATTTCAAAATAATTTTAATTTCTGAGCATTCAGTTCTTTTCTCTCATTCAGTTTCTGAATGGAAATAATACCACCATGTTGTATTTGAAATGCCTTTCTAACCCTGGTTAAAAGCTGATTCTGAATTACTTGTAAAGTTGACGTGTTATTGTCCAACTGACAGTTTTTTAGCTTAAGGAACAAATGCCATTCTGAGTGCTGAAGTACTATATATATAGAGAAATCACTGTTCAAATACAAAACAAAAATTAAATAGGCTGCTTTGTACTAATAAATTTTATTAAATAAGACTTAAGCTCTATGCTAGTAGCCTGCTGTCAATCACAAGGAAATAGTAAAACACTGTGGAGTTCCTAGGGATGTGGGAAGCAGTCACATTGATCTAGGTTTCTTGTTTTCAAATTTAAATTTACTGATGATTGGACCACTTGGGGAATAGTGGGAGACTTGGTTTCTGTAGATCTATAGCAACAGAAGACTGACCCCTTCTCCTGTGGGCTTTAGCCTGTGATTTGCTGGGTGTTTAGCCTCAATAGGCTACAATAGGCTCCAGCTTATTGGATTTTAGGTTAAGCATAAACTAATGTGTGTTTGTGGACATGGCGTGCTGGCATGCTCAGAACCTTTCAAGTTGAGTTCCATAGATGAAACCCAAAATACACAAACCCTGTGGAGAGATTCAGTTTTTCAGGACTTTGTCATACTCTGTAGTGGAATTGCTTTTGGTTTGCATCCATATGAAAGGAGAATCAAGCCTTGTCATTTTACTTTGGATAAATTTCCTACTGGAAGAAAATAAGTGTGTTAATTCTGTCCCAAAGTTTGGAGATACCAGGAAAATTGTCCCTTTCTGTTGAGAGTAGAGAAAACCTGGAACTATTCAATTCTTTGTTTTTAAAAAAAAAACCCAAAACCTAAAGACCTGCCTTAAATTTAAAAATACATTTTGAATACATAGGAAACCAAACACTAGCAAAATGTTACTCAGTTTTAATGCTTGCTGAAATTCAGGATGAGATGTCAACTGAAAGCAGGCATATTTAATAAAATAAGAAATATTCTGAGTTACTTATAATCCACTTGCTGATCCTTTTGGCTGGAATCCTGTTTTCCAGGTATGCAGCCTATGCAAGTCTCTGAATTGGGTATAGAAGGTATTAGCGTACCATGCGAGGCTGGCCATGTGCTTGTGGACACATCTGCTATTTCTAAATGCGAGGCCATGCCAACATAGTCCTGTGCTTAGCTTGGAAAAGTTGGTTTCTAGCATCTGTTCTTGGTTAAATTAGTAGTTTTCCAATACTTGGCACTTACGTAGCACTTAGCATATTTAAAGTGCTCCACAACCTAACGAAAGTAGGTCTCTAAGCTTCCAGTTTGAAACTAAAGCGATTTTAAGTCTGCTTTGGAAGACGTGGACCTGCAGTTTTTGTGCAAGAACTTCCCATGAGAACACCCTGCAGGGGAAAAAAAATCCTAGGGAAGGTTTTCTTCTTTGCAAGCTAGCGTCTGACTGCTGACCTCCAGCAGTGTTTTGGCCAAGTGTTGGTCCTGGGAATCTTCAGGTGTCTTCAGGTTATTGGTTTCAGACCAGGTACTTTAGGAACAAAATTTCTGAAGGGTGAAGAAAAACTGTGGTCGTTTGGGTGAGTTTCTCTAAAAGCTTGTGTGTAGTGGCTGGTGATTCTGGAGGACAGAGTCATACAGCAATTCACAGGCTAGGACACGTGTGGTTGGTGAAGCTATACTCAGAAGTACTATAGTCATGTCCACGAACCAAAATACAGTATGGACCTCCAGAACTGAAGTGCTTGTTGCCGTATTTGTTTGGGAGATGGTAGATGACTGGTTTTCTTCAAAAGCAAAGGGGTTCTAGGGATTTAATTCAGCTGAGGAGGTGGCTCTTTCCTGTGTAAATTCAGATGGCGCTGGGACAAATGGCTCTTCCTTTTTTGAACATCGGTCTCTCTTCATGCCAAGATGGTATTTGTTTAGTATGTAAGCAGACGAGAGTGAGTAGTGTCAATGTGTTACTGTAAACGTACTCTCTATTAACTGGAACATATTTTACAAGAGGACTGTGGCAGCAGATGGTGTACTATAGCTGACTTCCTTTCTTGTTTCTTATTTATTTTGAGAATGTTTTGTTCTCTTAACAGGCTTGGGCATTTTTAATCTGGATAGCTTTAAAAGGGGGAAAATAGATTAATAAAAAGTAAAAAAAAAATTATATATATGTGCTGTAAATAAATACTTTGGTGTCATATTTGTGTTATATGATTGTATTAAATTTATTTTCCTACCAGGCAAAACTGTAAGTACTCTCCTTACACTGTCATTAGGATACAGTGCTCTTTAGAGGATGTGAGGATATTTTTGAAACATTTTTTAGTGTATTAATCTTTCAACATCAGGTTAGAATTCAAGAATTCTTCAAAGGTGATTTGGTTTAAAAAAACAATCAAACAAAAAGCCCCCAGTGTATGCTGTGGTGTTTGGGCTGCATTCCTTTACACTTAACAGTTGTGTTGCAAGAGATTCTTTTATTTTAATATGCCCAAATGCCTACTTTTTTTTCGCCCAGAAGATCTCTTCATTGTTTCAGAAATGTGTGTATTTCACTTTCCAGGCCTTTGTTGAAAGGAAGAATGGTCAGGTCTTTTAAACATTAAAAAGAAAAATTACTATAGGCAAGGATGAATTGAAACAAATAAAATAACGCATTTTTTCATGCATCTCGTTAGAATCTCCTTAAAGTGAGTGTGTGTGTGTATAGTATCTCACATTTTATGTACACACACACACGTATATTTACACATATGGATAAAGTGTTGGAGCAGTGATTTAAGACCATCATTCATTATCTGGTCTGGAAAGGGTTCAATTGCTTGGGCAGCTCATCTTCTCTTTGTAAAGCCTAAAAGGCTTCATCACAAAATGTCAAGGAATTGTTCCAGTGCACACATGCGCCTGCTGTGTATACAGCTGTTGGAGGGGGGAGAAGGGGGTGGAAGAAGAGGATGGGCATGGATGGGGAATATTTCTGATGAGAAAATCTCAGTTTTACATGATGTAGAGCCTAAATTATTTTATGATAACTTTTCTTAGAAACATAAGGAGGAAGCTTTACTCTCAAAAATTACTTAACAGCAGGGACTAGCCTGAACATCTTTAGAAATGCCAACTATCACCAGTCTAATCTTAACATAGCTGTCATATTTTCTCACATCTGTCCCTACTGCAAGACCCACCAATGCATCAGTCAGATGTATGTTGTAGG